GTAAGTAAATAAATAAATAAATAAATAAATAAATAAATAAATAAATAAATAAGTAAGTAAATAAGCTGTCTCCCAAGCAAGGCCAGCCCTCAGGAGAACGGGCCCTCTCCTTTCCCCCCTCTGGACCGATGCAGAAACCCCCCCACCACCACAAAGGCTTCCGACCCACCGGCCTTATTGCACCTCCACCCTGGTGCTGTTACCTGGCAACGGATCATGACGTGTGTGACTTTGGACTTGCCATCGTTGCTCTCGCCTTTGTCGTCCCCCGTGCGGACAGAAAGCACGAAGTCTCCCGGGTGGCTTTGGCTCTCGCGGACTAAAAAGCTGCCATGTTTCCCTTTCTCCGTCAGCAACTTTTCTGCTTCCTTTCCTGACAGGTGACCATGGAACCACCTGTGGGGGTGGGGGGGGAAAGCAGCGAAGAGTTAGGACGCCTCGAGTTGCTTCCCTGGCCTTTCGCGAGAAGGGAGGGAGGCTCCCCAAAAAACCAGGGCTGCCTTGGGAAGCTTTCTGGTGGGGACTTTGGAAGAGCGAAAGTTCCCTCGCTCCCGCGGCAGAGGAAGCCGTTGAGGGCACATTAATTAAGAGGAAAAGGGACCTATTTTCAAAAGGAGCTCCTATTAAGGCAATTAAGGTAGGAGCTGCTGCTCTGCCCCCAAACCCCTTTCCTTCCAGAGGCTGGGAACTGCAGGAGTCCAGAAAATTTGGCCCTTGATTTACGGCCACAATTGAGCCTAACATTTCTGTTGTTTTGCCCCATTTTACGACATTTCCTGCCACAGTTATGGTGAGCCACGGCAGTTATTAAAGTAGTAACAGGGTTAAGTGAATCGGGATTCCCCATTGCTTGTCAGACGGTCGCAAAAGGGGATGAACGTGACCTGAGATACGCCGACTGTCATAAATACATGCCAGTTGCCAAGGCCCTGAATGTTGATCAGTGGCCAGGGGCGTGCTGCCGTGGTCGTAAATGTGAAAAACGGTCATCAGTCACTTGTTTCAGGACTAAGAAACTTCAAACAGTCACTAAATGGTTTTAAGTTGAGAAATTCCTGTACCAAACAGCCGGTAAGGCCTCAGCTGGCCCTGAATGGCAGCCGGCTGGAGACCGAGTGGAGGGAAGGAACGCCACGGCTTCCGGATTGCCTCCAGGCCCTTCCGCCCAGGATGGACCTCACCCAAGCTGGGCTCCCTGATGCCGCCCCCTTGCTCACCTTTCTGAAGTGGGGTCTGCACAGTTGAGGGGGTACTTCAACTCGATCACGTCCCCGTTCTTCTCCTTGAGCTGCCCGTGGTGCTCCATGTAGTACTGGACCAGCTCCGCCAAGGTGGCAAACTTCTCCCCCCCGTAGAGGTCATAGTAGTCGCCCGTGTTCTGGATCTTGATGTGAGTGACCGCCCCATTGCGCCTGGCCGGTCCAGACGGTCAAGAGGAAGAGAGAAGGGAAAAGAGAGCGGAGGGCAATGAAGAGAAAACTGCCTTCTACTGGTAGCCGCCTGGGGACGGAGAGGAGGGCTGACTCCAAACCTCCCTATTTAACATTCTTGGATCAGAAGGGAGGGGAGAATAAGGGAGCGGGCAGTGAAGAAGAGAGGAAGGAGGGACGGGAGGAAAAAGGGAGGACAAGGGAGTGGGAAATGAAGAAGAGAGGAAGGAGGGAAGGGAGGAAAAAGGGAGGACAAGGGAGGGGGAAATGAAGAAGAGAGGAAGGAGGGACGGGAGGAAAAAGGGAGGATAAGGGCGGGGGAAGTGAAGAAGAGAGGAAGGAGGGAAGGGAGGATAAGGGAGGGGGAAGTGAAGAAGAGAGGAAGGAGGGAAGGAAAAAGGGAGGGCAAGTGAAGAAAAGAGGAAGGAGAAAGGGAGGAAAAAGGGAGGATAAGGGAGGGGGAAGTGAAGAAGAGAGGAAGGAGGGAAGGGAGGAAAAATGGAGGGGGAAGAGAAGAAGAGAGGAAGGAGGGGAGGAAAAATGGAGGGGCAAGTGAAGAAGAGAGGAAGGAGGGAAGGGAGGAAGGAAGGATAAGGGAGGGGTAAGTGAAGGAGAGGAAGGAACATTCTTGAATCGGGAGGGAAGAAGGAAGGGAGGAGAGAAGGAAGGTTAAGGGAGGGAGGGAGTGAAGGAGAGAGGAAGGAAGGAGGGAAGGAAAAAGGGACAGAGGAAGGGAGGTCTTAGCTAAGAACCGCTTGCAAAGATGGATATTATTTACTGCTCTCGCTTGCTGTTAAGGCAGCCTCCTCAAAAAGAGAGACTTAGCTAGTTAAACCATTTACTTTTTGTTTTTTAAGACCTTTCTGTGGAATTACATTAAATTTTCAGAAACGCCAAGGCAGCTCTCAGGTTCCCCTCGGTGGACTTACCGGACCGAAAGTGTGAAGTCCCCAGGGTTGCTTTTACTAGGCCGAGCCAGAAAGCTGCCATCAACTCCTCTGGTCAGGAGCAGGTTCTCTGCTTCCACTCCGGTAATGTTGGGGTGAAACCATCTGGGGGAAGAGAAAAGGAGGAGGGGGGGTTTCGAAAGACCACTTTCCGTTAAGAGAAAAGGGTTTCCTTTAAAAGAAAAAAAGACATCGTTTTGATTGAAAGCTTTTCCAGAAGTAAAAGATAAACATGAAAACACATAAAGAAGAGCCAAGAAAAAAATTAGTGCAGATAGACAGGAAAAAAACAGACTAGAAAAAAGGAAAAAAGAAGACAGAAAAAGAACGTGGGAAGCTATCCCCAGAAGGGAACCCAGTGCAAAACATAACACCTTCCCCATAAAACATCACTACAAGGATGCTACAGGTCTACTATGTGGATAATGGCCATGAAGGAGCCCCCGAGGATTCAGACCGTTTCATTTGGCCCGGAGACCTTTCGTAGCAGAACAAGGTGGGCTTCCTGCTGTCCTGCCATGATTCCTCCCCCCTTTCAGGGAGCAGGGAAAAGCAGAAGGGAGCAAGAACCGGCCGCTTGCAAACCGGGATCAAAGTGGGATGAAACAATCCGAACGGAGACACATCTCCTCGTCCCTGGAAAGCTGATAAAAGACCCCCAGTTGCTCCCACATAACCAGCAAGAGAAACTGAGAAGGCGGCTACCACCTCATGGTTGCCTTGGAACCAGGAATCTGCTCCCCTCCTGGAAACTGATCCGATGCTGGAATCTGCTGGAGGGTGAGCAGGAGGAGAGGCGGCCAGGGGGTGTTAGCCGAGCCTGGCCCCTCTCTTCACTCCGGCGAAAACTGGCTCCATATATCTTCTCGGACCCAGCCACCCACAGCCATACCCTCCTTGGCAATTAAGCCAGCACCTTGCTGGTTGAAGGTGTCCCAAGGGGCCGAACCTTCGTTCGCCTCCTCTCCCATCAACCCGATCTGGCTTATTTTTAGAAATCTGGTTAACTAAGCCAACATTTTGGCTAAATCTGTACTCCCCCACTTGAGGGGGGAAAAGCCTGACGTTTTCCAAAGGCCCAGGGAGCCAACTAGGACGGGTAATGGGCATATTTATATTCTTCCATCAAGACACGCGGTGGACAGAGGGACAGGACAGTGCTGGGCAGGATCATGGGATCAAACTCTGGGCTTTCGGCAACTGGCAGGTACTTGTGACAGTTGCAGGGTCCCAGGGTCATGGGATCACCACTCGTGACCTTTCCAACCACCTTCCGACAAGCAAAGTCAATGGGGGAAAGCTAGATTCGCTTAAGGACCGCACGATTCCCTTACCGAGGGCAGCGCCTCGCTTAACAATCTCAACCGTCTTGCTTAATAATGGAGACTTCGGCCTCAACCGCAGTTGTAAAATAAGGACCAACGGAGTTAACAACAATTAACAACTTTTAGGGATCACCCAAAATCGGAATTCTTCAGGTTACCCACTGATGACCAGCCCAGAATTCCGAAGGGAGTTCGGGATGAGCAGAGCCGCTGCGGAAGGGCGAAGGTGGGGGGGGGGCAGAGAAAGCACCGTCCTGTGACCTTTCGGCAGAGCGCAGGGGCAGAGAGCAACTTCCGGGGACGGCCGGCCCAGGCGAGGATTCTATTTCCAGCACGGGTGGCAAGGCTCCCTGGCGCTCTGGGTATATTTGTCACCAAGTGGGTGAAGCAGCATTTTGTCACCAGTTGGAAATAGAAGGCTCCGGGGGTGTCTCAAGTCAGCTGTAGGCCGGCCAGTTATGCCAAGTGCTTCCGGAGAGAGGATCAAAGCAGCCGACAAAATGCAACGCGCACATTTTAGGCTGACAAGTCTATCCAATTCTATAGTTGGGGGCGGCTGAAGTCTTTTTTTTTCAACCCTAGGCGAGAAAGACGGTGCTGGGATTCCGGCAAATTAAAAATCTTTCAAGAGAAACGCGTTAAAAGAATGGTAGGGCTAGCTTTTCCGAGAGCCAGTATTTGGACGTTTAGCAAAATATAAAGGAGGCTATTAATAAAAAAAAGGAAACAGGACCCAGCGTTAATTATTCATAGATCAGAACTTATGTTAAGTCACATTGAAATAGTTGCATCTCAGAATATATGACGAGCACTCCCTAATGCTAATAGATGAACTCTAACACTAAACTAGCAAAACTGGTACAGGATAATTAGGGGCAGAAAATTCAGGAAACGTCTTTTTCCAGAAAAAAAGGGGGATCCTACTTTTGACAGTCTGGATGGGATTTTATAAAGGGAAATCTCCTGCAATTACTCTACTGAAAGCCTCTTAATGAAGTAATGAAAGAGGTGAGTTCACTGTACATTTTTTGAAAAGAAAAATAATTGGGCTGCTCTTGAAAGGATGTGTTACTTTAAGTTGGTTTTTTTCTCCTAATTGGTACGCAATTAGAATGGAGTAGAATGCTCTGATCTTATTTGGTTGGGAAGTGTGTTTTCTCACAATTGGAACACTGCTGAAAAGTTATTTCTGATTTCTTGACTCGTCTTGTGCAGTTAAAAAAGGACACTGCCTGCACCCCCATCCCCTCAGCATCAGAGTCCTTCTGTGCAGGGCTTCAGTTTTGCTTATCGTGTCCCCAAAATTGTTTATTTTATAATCTATTTATTGTTTTATAGTAGCCACATCCAGTTTCTTAAATTTGTTTGTTTACCTTGCACCAGGTTTATAGGGAAGCTTTGAGGGGTGTTTTTCCCCCACTGCGATGTGGCTGTTTTAGATTCGCACTTTTCCTGCTTCCTACTGCAAAATAATTTAGGGCATAATCTTAGCTCAAAATTCAACATCAGGTTTTGGCAGCCGGGGTCAGAGGTTACCCATCCCAGGCTTAAAGGTAACAGAGAAGGAGTCTCATTGTACCGTATCTCGGCCATCCTCTCCCGCTCACCTTGGCTCGTCTTTTGAGCCCCCGTGAGTGGCTTCGGTCAGCTCTCTCCCCCCCCCCCAATCACTACCAGGTCACATCTTGGGACACTGAAGCGAAGGTTTTGGCTTGGCTGTGTTTCTGAAAGGGCTGCAGCCCCCTCCCACCTCAGCCTTAGCAACCAAGGCTGGAAGTTTTTATCCCCTCTGGAACCTCCATCCTGCCGTGTCTGAGGCGAGCGGCCCTTTCTCTCCCTCTGGCCTGAACTGGAGGCAGCGGCCTCCATCCTCTACTTCCTTGTGGTCTCAGACTCTCCCCCACCACAAGCTGGTCCTTTTGGATCCCAGCCCCCATTGTCCCCAGCCAGCAGGGTTTGGGAAGCTACAGGCTGCCACACCAGGGGGGGAACCGCGTTGGGACCTGCTGGCTGGGGAGGATGGCAGCTGTGATCGCTTTGCAGTAGGCGGCTGCTCTGAGGAGGAGCCAAAGCAGGCTGGAAAGGCTCCTCTGGGAGGGGAGGATGGGAACTGTAGTCCCCGGACACCTGGAACCGGGAGGTCAGCGCCAGACCCTCCTCGGGGCCCCGCGCCCACCTCATTCCCATGGCAACGGCACTGGGGAGGGAGACAAGCTGGGCACCCCTTCCCCCGAAGGGGCGGGGCCTGAGCCTTCCTTCCCTTCCCCCCCCCCCCACTTCTCACCTCCTCGAGGTCATCTTCCCGCCTCCGTCTTCCTCACATGGGGCCCCTGGGTCTCGCGGGGAGCCCGGCCCGGTTGGAGGCGAACCGAAGTCGGCCCGGGCCCGGCCGCATCCAGGCCCGGGAGAGGGGAAGGCAGAAAGAGCCCCGAGGAGAGATCCGTCGCGATGCCTAAGACGTCATCGCCGCGCGACCAGCTAACCCCTCCCCCTCGGGATGGCAAGGAAGGGGACAGGCTCGCCAGTCGCCCTGAGCATAGAGGCAGGCTGCCTAGAACGGCCGACACGGTGGGAACGCGCTTTCCGTTCTAGGCTGCGGCGCCTCTGTAATAAGCACCCTTTCGGTGCCCAATGAACCTCGTCTTCTCCAGTCCGTTGCCCTGTCCTGGGCGGCCTTTGTCAGGAAAGAAATAAAGTATAATATGTATTCATCATCATCATCATCATCATCATCATCATCATCATTGTTGCGCCGCAGGAATCGTAACTATTTTACCAAGATAGGGGAAAGCTTTTCTATTATGATAAGCTTTAAATTAGTGTTTCTCAAACTTTCTAAGGTTTGTGGACTTCAATTCCCAGAATTCTCCAGCCAGCACAGGAATCGATGAACCCT